CTTATACTTTCCTTTATTACATACTTGCAATCTCCTCCTTGCAGCAACCATTAGCAGCATTTACCTCTATTCACTTGAACCACTGCATTCCTCTCTGTATCTTCCGCCATCCCCATCTTTCCTCTGCCGACCTCCCTCCCATTGTATATCACCTGCCCAGTCACCCAAGTCAAAATGTGTCTACCCTCTAGTGCATGAATCGTTTTCTCCTCCCCTGATAACCACCATAGATTGTTTCTTTTATCAAGAAACCCCACCCCTTCTTTTTTTTTTTTTTTTTTTGAGTACAAACAAAAAAACACGCAGGAATATGTAATCATTTAAACAACCAAGGGCACATTCTGGAAGCCAGCCTCCTGGCCACAAGCATATAGCCTTTCTCTTTCCAAAAGTTAAGAGTCCTCAGCTGCTCAATCTATCCATGCCATCACCTTTGCCTCCATCTCTGGTGTCGCTGCTTCTCTAGTTAGGGTCCCACATTACACTATGCTCTTCTTTCTTGATGGTCCTAGGGTCCTCTGTTCCTGGAATGTAAGATTAACTACTCCCCGCTTTTTGATGCACAACTTCTACCTTTACAGTTGTGACCATCACAGTTAGTCATGACAATAATTACTCACTATTAAATGAAATGAATTCTATCCCCATCTCCTTTCACCAGACCTGTCTAAGCAAGATGAAAACTATTTAATGGGGATTCTACCGTCCCCTGCATGCTCTGAAACTAAACTCCCTCTTGAAAACATCTAAGCCAGCTACTGTGTGCCGTTACAGCCCCCATCTCCCCCAGCCATTTAAAGTAGCCAATGTCTAATTGCCCATCCCTACCAACCCTCTGTACAAAGGGAATAGGTTTGATCCTTAATGTGAAGGCTCCTTCCCTCTCTGTTGGTATTTTGAGCTACTACATCCATAAGTATAGGTCAAGTTCATCAAATTGTAGCAATTTACACCTGCTTCCTTTATCAAATTTCTTTCTCTTCCTCTAATTGAGTTCTCATCATCAAGCCATTGAAGTTAGGTCAAGTGAATACTACCTATAAGTTTGGACGTTCTTGTGCGTCTCTCCTCACTTCATATTAGCTGGACACTTCACTCTCAATTCTAGCTCTCCGTGACTAAGTCATTGTCCATGGACTCAGGAGTTCTCAAGTCTCCTCAAAATGTGGACCAACCAGCCCTTCCTTTTCTCTCTCATCTCAAGGTCGATGGTAATCTATGGATTATGGTTGAACTCAGCACATATCTTCATTGCTGCCTTTTCCCCACTTCCACTCACATGTAGACCAACGTGGTCACCAGCAAGCTTACATGTCTGCTTGTGTGTTCCCTTTGAGTTTCAGTCATGGAGGAGGGTTTGTCCTGAAGGGACTTGATTGCTTGCCTTGATGGCTCCCTGGCAAACAGCTTGCTTGTTCTTGTTACAGCCAAATAGATTGCCCTTGTTTTGTTCGTTTTTTATTTTTCCTGGTGGTCTTTCTTTCAAGAAGTATCTTCTGTTCCTCTAGCTGCTCCAGGCTGGTCTGCATGTCTTTTCAAGTGAGAATGTCCTACTTCAGAAGGTTCTGGATGGGGCTCAGGTTTCCACCTAAGGTCCTATATACTACATAGGCTCCACAAGAAGCCTGTTTCACTGGGCAAGTTCTAGAACCCCTTTTAGGTATTCTAATCAGTTATAGGCTGAAGACGGGCTTACAAGCTTTCTGTAATCATGTTTACCAATATTCCTGTCTATCCTACTCAAGTGTCTATTTTACAATAATAGTAGGCAAGGGAAACCAGTATCTATATGGCAGCCAAGCATCTTAACATTATTTCCCCACTTTTACCCATTCAAGCTATGCCTCGATCCCTGTATCCCAGTGTCCAAGGTGGAGCATACATCCTAATTTAACTCTGTGCCATTTAGCCCATGAAAACCTACCTAAGTGTTTCCCTATCTACCTTGTTCTTCTACCACCTCCTGCTTCTTGTGTATTGCCCTCCCGCAAACTGAAGCTGTGGTGTGACTATCCCCTACCCTGTGCTCTACTGCCCCCTTCCTGCCACCCCTGGTAACCAATAAAGAAATTCTGTTTTGTCTTTTTTTTTTTTTTAGTACAGATACGTTTTCTTAAGCTTTTACAATAATGGTCTTATGTAATGTTTGTCCTTTGGTGACTGACTAATTTCATTCAGCATAATGTCCTCAAGGTTCATCCATGTTATGTGGTGGTTTGTGGCTTCATTGTTATTTTTCAAGGTAGCACAGTATTCCATTGTATGTATGAACCAGAGTTTGTTCATCCATTCTTCCATTGACCGGCACTTAGGCTGTCTCCATCTTTTTGCTGTTGTGAGTAGTGCTGCTATAAATATTGGTGTGCATATATCTACTCATGCTCTGGCTTGTATTTCTTGTGGATATATACTAAGTAGAGGAATTGCTGGATCATAAGGTATTTCTATTTCCAAATTTCTGAGGAAGTGCCATACTATTTTCCAGAGTGGCTGAACCATTTTACATTCCCACATTTTACATTCCCCACATCCTCGCCAGCATTTATTGTCCTCTGCTTTTTTGAACTTTGTGTTATTGCTGGTGTGGGATGATACCTCATTGTTACTTTCATTTGCATCTCTCTAAAGGCTAATGATCATGAACAGTTCTTCATATGTTTGTTGACTGCTTGAATGTCTGTTCATGCCCTGTGCCCATTTTCCAACTGGGTTATTTGTCCTTTTCTTGTAGAGGTGTTGCAATTTCCTATAGATTATAGCGGTTAGTCTTGTCTGATATGTCATTGCAAAAGATATTTTTCCGTTTTGTGGGCTCTCTTTTTACTCATTTGGGAAAATCTTTCGATGCACATAGGTTTCTAACTTTTAGTATGTCCCAATCATGTATTTTGTGCTCTTTTGTTTGTACAATTTTCGCAATGTTTGATAGTCCATGTGCGCTCATATTGTTTTTGTTGTTGCCATCGAGTTGATTCCGACCAATAGGGACCCTCCCTGTATAGGTTTTCCAAGGAGCAGCTGGTGAGCTTGAACCACCGACCTTGCAGATAAAATGGCTTTGCAGACTGGCGCATTAACCCACATAGGACACCCTTAAATTTGTCCCTATTTTTTTAATTGATGACCTTTATAATTCTGGAATTCACATTTAGGTCTTTAATCCTTATTGAGTTGGTTTTTGTATATGGTGTGACATAAAGGTCTTGTTTCAATCTTTTGCATATTGCTTTCCAGTTCTGCCAACACCATCTGTTGAGACTATCTCCTCCCCATTCAGTGTACTTTGGCCCTTTGTCAAAGATCAGTTGTCTGTATGTGGATAGGTTAATTTCTGGATTCTCAGTTCTGTTCCACTGATCTATATATCTTCATTGTACCCTACCAAGCTGTTTTGACCACTGTAGCCATGTAGTAAATTTTGAAATCAGAGAGTGAGAGGCCCCCAATGTGTTCTTCTTAAGCAGTACATTGCTTATCCAGGGACTCTTTCCTTTCCATATAAACTTTGTAATCATTTTTTCCATTTCTTTAAAGAATGTCATTGGAATCTGGTTTGGGATTGAATTAGATTTGTAGATTGCTTTGGGAAATAATGACATTTTCACAATGTTAAGTCTTCCTATCCAGGAACGTGGTATATTCTTCATTTTTGTAAGTTTCTTTTGGTTTCTTGTAGTAGTGTTTTGTAGTTTTCTTTGTATAGGTCTTTTGTTTCTCTGGTTAGATTTATTCCTAAATATTTCATCCTTTGGGTGGCTATTATAAATGACATTGCTTTCCTAATTTCCTTTTCAGCGCTGTCATTGCTAGTATAGAGGAATCCGACTGATTTTTGTATGTTGATCTTGTACCCCGCCACTTTGCTGAATCTTTCAATGATGTCTAGTAGTTTTTTTGTTGAGTCTTTGGGGTTTTTTTATGTATAGGATCACGTCATCTGCAACTAGAGTTTTACTTCTTCATTGCCAATTTGGTGGTGGTGGTGGTTGTGTGCTGTGGAGTCGGTTCCAACTCCTAGCGACCCTGCTTAGGGTATCCAAGGCTGTAAATCTTTACGGGAGCAGAAAGCCTTATCTTTCCCCCAGAATGGCTGGTAGTTTGGAACTGCTGACCTGAGATTAGCAGCCCGACTTGTAACCAATATGCTACCAGAGCTCCTTTCTGTGCCAATTTGGATGTCTTTAATTTCCCTGTCTTGCCTTACAGCTCTGGCTAAGTCTTCCAACATAGTATTGATTAGGAGTGGTGACAAAGGGCATCCTTGTCTGGTTCCCGTTCGCAAAAGGAAGGCTTTCAGTTTCTCTCCATTGAGAGTAATGTAGGCTGTTGGTTTTGTATATATGCTCTTGATTATGTTGAGGAATTTCCCTCAATTCCTACTTTGTTGAGGGTTTTTATCAGGAATGGATGCTATATTTTATCAAATGCCTTTTCTGCATCAATTGATATGATCATGTGGTTCTTTTCCTACATTTTTTTTTAATGGTGGATTATATTGTTTGTTCTAATATTGTACCATCCTTGCCTCCCTGATATGAATCCCACTTGGTCATGATGTATTACTTTTTTGATGTGTTGTTGAATTCTGCTGGCTAGGATTTTGTTGAGAATTTTTGCATCGATGTTCATGAGAGACATTGGCCTATAATTTTCTTTCTTATTGATTTCCTACCCTGGATTTGGTATGAGGATTATGCTTGCTTCAAAAATATATTAGAAAGTTTACCATCCTTTTCTATATTCTGGAATAATTTGAGTAGATTTGGGGACAGCTCTTCCCTGAATGTTTGGTAAAACTCATTAGTGAAACCATCTGGACCTGACCTTCCTTGGGAGTTTTTTGATGACCTGATCAATTTCTTCTTTTGTTATAGGTCTGTTCAAGTTTTCTATTTCCCCTCAGTTTATTTTATTATTACATTTTTTTCTCTTTTCTCCCCCTCTGCTACCCCTAAAGTTTCTTATGGGTACAAAATGAAAACTTTTTTTTTTTCCCCCAGGGTACACAGTGTCATCTCCAAGCTTTGTTGTCTCTGTATAAGTTCTTTGTTCCTACTTTGATTTCTGTGTCCTTGCCTATAAGGAGGAAGGTAAGTAAGAACATAAGTCATATTGAGGTTGAAATATGTTGCTTTTGATAACATTAATTTACAAATTTAGAATGAAATTTTTGTCTTATCCTGGTTTAAGATATATGCCACTGTCTTTGCAACGTTTTTGTGGGGCGGGGATTGGTACTTTGTGTACATTCCATTTGATATACAAGAATTAATAAAAAGGTGTTGCTACAAAATCATATGGTTGTTAGGTGCTGTTAAGTCAGTTCCTACTTATAGAAAACCTATGCACAGCAGAACAAAACATTGCCTGGTCCTGGGCCTCTTCACAGTTATGTCATGTTTGAGATCAGTGTGTTGCTGTCACTGTGCCAATCTATCATGTTGGGGGTCTTTTTCAATGACCTTCCACTTTACTAAACACGGTGTCCTTCTCCAGGCATGGTTTGTATGTCCAATTTAGGAAAGATGAATTCTTAGTAGTCTTGCATCTAAGGAGCACTTTGACTATACGTTTTCAAGACAGATTTGTTCTGGCAGTCCAAGATACTTTCAATATTCTTCACTAATGCCATAATTCAAATATATCAATTCTTCTGTGCTCTTCCTTATTCATTTTCTAGCTTTCATATGCCTATGAAGTGAGTGAAAATACCATGACTTGGGTCAAAATCATAGAAAACTTTATGAAGCAAAAATACTAAAATGTGAAGCTATTGTTTCTCAACAAATCCTTCATCTAAGTCTGTAACATCTAATGTTCTGAAAACATTATTCCCATGTCTCTATGTCTTCCCTGAAGATTTCTGCGCTTTTCAATTTATACCAGCCAAGACAGCAGTTTGGCATACCTGAGAAACTCAAATCATGTTCCTTTGAAATGTTCTTTGCATTTTGGGAGCAAACTGAAGTCTGAAGGGTGGATGGGGTAAGGTTTCCCAATGAAATTCTTGTAGGACAGCTTTTGCTACTTTTGACAAATGAGCAGGAGCATTGTTATGTTGGAATAAAATTATTTGACTCAACTCTCCTGGACTTAATCTCCCCAGTGCAGTTTTGGTCTTACTAGAACTTCTTCCTGTTAAGCCTACTTGACTACCCTGTGTCCTTCAATAAAATCTGTAAAGACTCTCCCTTTGGAGTCCCAAAGAAATAGTTACCATAACCTCTGAGCTGCCCTCTCTGCCTTGAACTGACCCATCAGATCCCTCTAAAACCACAATTTTAAGTAGACTTTTTATTTGAAGTCAGCTTAACAAGACTTAGACAAGTATATTACTGAGAGAAAACTGGTCTGCAGCCATCCACTGATTACAGAGACATATTTACACATGATTTGTTGAGAATAAACCTGTGCGTACTTAAACTGGAACTACAATAGCAATCTTTTTGACTTACGCTTGTATTTAATGAACTCCCAATCAGAAAGAAAGCCAAAACTTTAGTTGGATTTGAATGGGTGTAAAATATTTTATAGTTAATATATTTCAATTAATGAAAAGTTTTAGATTTTTATGTTCTCACTTATTGGTACCTCTCTTATGTATTTTACATTCAAATTTATAGATCTATTTTAAGAATTCAGGGAATTTATGGCAGGCGGCTCTGATTGCTGTGAGGCAAAGGAACACGGAACCTTCTCCACTCTCTCTAAAGTTGCCATTAGGGTCGGCTAAAGTACGTTCTTTGAAAAGAGTGAGTATCTAAAACTCCAAAGTCTTTTGTTGCCTTCTTTTAATGAATCCAAACAATACCCATTGAGCTGTTGGAGGAGAGTATCAATATTGAAATGCTTTTTAATTATTCAGCATTTTACATAAATTACATTCAGACTTTGTTAGTTGAACCCCTTAACAACTACTTCTGCATTTATAATTTATATTCTGTTTAGTGTGCTGATTGTTTTTTTTTATATCTCTTCTATAGAAATGGAATTCTGACTCAATTATACCAATGCCAAACTCCAGTAGCTATGATAAAGAATGTGGAAAAAAAGAAATAAGTCTTTCTGATTTACTCAGTAACAGTGGATCGTTTCCAGTAGAACAGCTTCATAATTTACCTCAACTCTTAGAAAACATCCATTGCTTAGAGGTATGTAACTGAACCACATGTATACTTAATTTTCCATTTGGTCTTCATTTTTTAAAAAAATTATTTTATATTTGATCTTCTTATATATTTTCTACTTAGTTATTTCCTTGTTTCTCTGGTTCACTTTTCATATACTTATAGTTGACCAGCTGTTCTGTCTTTGCAGCTGCCTAGTCAGATGGGCTCCATACTGAACAATTCACTGTTACTTCACTATATTAACTGTATCAGAGATGAGTCAGTTTTACTGAGATTCTATCACTGGTTGAGTCAACTATTACAAGAAGGTAAGAATTGACTACTCATAAGAATTAGATGAGTGAGAAAGGAGCAAGACAGTTTACAAATTTGTTTCTTTCATAAGATTCCAAATTCTAGACAGGAAGACCTTTCATATGGTGTAGTTATTTATTTAGTAATCATATATTTAAAGCATGAATGCTTCCTTTATTGGAATTTTCAAGAGCAGTAAGAGAGAAAGTGTGTTATTTTGGCTTCCTGAATTTCATTAAGTGACTTTACTTTGTTGATGGTCTCAACTCAAGGCCTCACTCACCATCTTTGTATGTCCAGAAACTTGCCTGTAAGTACCCAGAGTCCATCAGATTAATGCTAACCAAACTCACAAGAGACCATTGTATAAGCCAGAATGTCAACTTATTATTTTATAATAGAAATAATATTTTCTGGTTGCCAAAATGTTCATGTTTGCCAACTAGAGCATCCCCTCTGTACATATCAGTGTATGTAGGAGCCAAATAAGTTTCCACTTACTACATTTCAATATTGTCTATTCCTGCCACTATTAGATGATACCCTGTTTACCCTAGTTGAAGTTTGGGTTATTCTCAAACTTTTTTCATTGTTGCAAAATAGTCTCAAACTTTCAATTCACACATTCATAGTCTCTTGGATTGCTATGTGACAAAAGGCTTATCATATACCCTAGTTGTGAATTTTACCAGTTTATGTTTTCATTAAAATATTTGTCTTATATTACCATGTTCTTGAGGAGCATCTCACTGTCACCTCCACATACATGTTAACCATTTATACTGTGAGTTAGACTTGCAGCTTGTTTATATTTATCATTTATTTTTCACTTTAGAATATCTAGAATTATGTTTGGCGTAGTTTTCATTGTTGTACAACCCTGCTAATATTTAATATTTCTGCTCTAGAATGTCTTTGGTACAAGGTGAATAATTATGAATGGAAAAAACAATTTACCAGCTTACTGGACTCTGTCATCAAGGCACAGTGCTTTTTGCAAGTAAGATTCCACTGGTTTCCAAAAGACTCCACTATTCTTGACTAAAATTTACTGAGATGTTCATTAAAGCCCTCTTCTTTAGAGCTGTGACATTTTTGTTAATAATATATACCCAATTTGGAACTCATAATAAATAGAAGTGAATTCTACTTTGTATTGGTAGGTTTGAAAGAAGAATTTGCTAAATTGTACAAATAAGGGGGCAAGCTGTAATGTGGACAACCAAATGAAGATACAATCCAATCCATCCAATTAATTGAAGTAGTCAATCAACACATATTTTTTAATGCCTAGTATGTTCCAGCTACTGTTCCATTTGGCCTGGGTAGCCCTGAGTAGTTGCAACTCTGATATTAGCACCTTCAAGAAGCTTTCACTCCTCACCCCAGTTTGGGTTAGGTATTTGTCCTGTGTGTTCCCAAAGCTCTCAGTGCTTACCACATTCAACATCTTTTCTATATATCATGAGCTCCTGGCAAGCAGGAACCATGTTTTAATTTTTCTTCATTTACAGGTACTCAGTTTTGTGCCTGGCACATAAATAATGTTTAAGAAATGCTGAATAAATTAATGAGTTGGTGTGAAACCGTTGTGTTGGATGTGAATGATGGTAATGAAGATGAAGGGAAGAATCAAGTTTTGTTTTTGTTTTGTTTTGTTTTTTTGCTTGTGAGGATAATAGCATTCATTGAGAAAAAGAATATAGGAGGAGAAGGTTAGGAAGGAAAGATAAATTTGATTTAAAATACATTGATTCTGAGATGCCTCTGAGGCATCTAAAAGATGATATCCAGTTGGCAGTTAGATAAGTGAGTCTAAAGCTTTAGAAATCAGATTTAGGTTAGAGATATTGATTTAGGGCTCCATGTGATATAGTGGTGATTTTAGCTATGATAGGGATGGGATTGTCCAGAAAATTTATATCATGAAAGAAGGTCTAGTAGAGTCCTGGTACAGGATGACAGTTTTAAAAAAAGAGTCCTGGATCCTCACTTTGGTGAAAACATAAGTCTCCTAGTTATGTGGACCTCTCTAAATGGAACTTCCCAGAGTTTGCGTTGGTCTAAAGTATCTAATGAAATTCTAGCCCTATTATGTATGGAACGTAAATTGTTTATTGACTTACGTTGTACCCCCAAATAATAGTTTTATTCATCTTATAAAAATATTCTATAACTTGACTTTGTATCTTCTTTCCAACTGATGAAGTTTTATGAGATCTGAAAACTATATTGATAAAGATAATCATATATCCAGATATTAAATATTTGATCCTTTAATGAGAAAATATGGCACCCCAAGGTTTTATTATATTGATAACCAAAAAATTAGTCTAAGTGAAAAAATCTATAGTAAAAAAACTCTTTAGAGAGTTCCTTATATGAAACTAATATTTTGCTATTGATTTAATGTTATAGGAGGGGTTTTATTCCTGTGAAACATTCCTATATAAGAGTCTTCCTCTCTGGGATGGCCTCTGTTGTCGGTCACAGTTCCTTCAACTTGTGAGCTGGATTCCTTTTAGTAACTTCTCTGGTACGTACCATGAAAATTGGGTGCTATTTAATGTAATGTTCCATATATAAAATGATTTTAAATATTTCTTTTAATTCCTAGAGTTGAAACCACTTGTTTTTGATCATCTAGCAAGTCTCTTCTTTACATCGACTATTTATTTCAAGGTAGTAAAAAAAAAAGCATCAGCTTCAAATAGGAAGTGTTAATTTTATTATCAGTGTTATATTGATTACAAATCCATGTTATAGCAGTGCTTTTCTAACAGGATTCTCTTAGATTTTAAATTTGAATTGTTGCATCACTCAACTCAAATATAGTAAGATTTTATTCATTCACTCCCCTCCAAGAGTTGATGAATACATAAAATGTTCTCATTCTTAAGTTTTTCTCCCATATAATTTACCCTGAGGTGTTTCCACTTACAGATGAGAAAGAGAATGGAAAAGTGGCAAACATGTATTAATAAAAACAAACTAGGAAACATTTTGAGATTTATGTTTTTATGGCTATGCAAAGCATTTATTGAGAATAGACTGTGTGCTAGGCACTCTTCGTGGCACTGGTAATACAGTAGTGACTGAAGCATACAAAACTCCCTGTGACTTTTGTATTGCATACTTATGTGTATTCATTTATAATGTATATATATACATACTGTATATATAAACTGTACTTATGTATACTATATTCATTTCTGTTCCAATCTTGTGTGATGGAACTGTATTACTATGAGGTGGCATCAAACAGATCATGGAAAAATTGAGCTAAGGGGACTTTAGATCCAGAGAGGGAGAGAGACTGTGTGCTGAAGACTGGGGGTGGGGGTAGTGTAGGGGGTAGGCTTGCAGGGTATACCCTTTGGTTAGTTGGTGATGCATGAAGGGGATTGTAACCATGGCATTGAAACGATATACGATAGAATGAATGTAAAACTAATGTTCTCCCATGTAAACTATCATATAATTCACAATAAAACACTAAAAAAAAAATTGAGCTAAAAGATAATGGAATTTTTCCATCCACTTTTTGAAGCCTCCTTTTATTTTGGAGTATTATTTCCAAAAGGACCACTGGTATCTATGAGTTCTCCTAGCTGAGTGAATCTGAGAGCCACTTTCTTAAAGAGTGGCTGGTCCTATTCCAATAGAGTGACAACATTTCTATAAGTAATGTATCTTTTACAACTTTTTTTTACTTACTGCTCTTGGTCACATTTACAAGAAAAATACCTTGTCCTGTTTAGTGTTTGTTATAATTAAATGACACTTTTTAATTTTTTTTTTGCAGTTTTTTTTAATGTTTTATTGTGAATTATGTAATAGTTTACATGGGAGAACATCAGTTCCACACTCATTGTATCGTATATCATTTCACAACATGATAGTCCTGTTGTAGCACTGTAGGATAAGCTTTGAGCTACTAACCACAAGGTCAGCAATTCAAACCCACCTGCTGCTTCTTGGAAACCCTATACAGAGTCGCTATGAGTTTGAACTGACAACGAAATTTAAAAACAGCAGCATGATAGTTTTATTTATAGTTTTCTGGATTTTTTTCCCCAGAAAGCTTCATCTTTATTGACACATTTTCCCACAAGAAAAGCAGCTCAGAAAGAAGTCACTTGTTTTGCTTGGAATGAATGAGAAGTCCATGTGATTGCATTCCTGATTTTTACTAAGAAAAAGCACCAGATACAATTGAATTGATTGTCACATTTTTAAAAGACAATAGTGACTAACTGAAACTCACCATCTCCACACCCTCATCTACCCAGTCAATGTCAAATCATCATCAGTTTCCTCAAAGTCACAGTGTACTCTAGTCCTGGTGTGGCGCTGTAGGATAAGCACTCAACCACAAGGTCGGTTTGAACCTGCAAGATCAGCCACTCTCGGAAACCCTACACAGGGTCATTATGAGTCAGAATCAACTCAACAACAACATTGATACTGAAATTTTCAAGGAGGAAAATATTACTACAAATGTGTGAGTGGAACCCAAATGAAGCTCTTTCCCTGTAATTTCCAGTTTTCTGTTCAGTCCATACTGGAGAGATACAAGGATAGCCGCCTTTTTGGTTTCCAAGTTTTATTCAAGGACTTAATACAAAATATTCCGGATAAATGGATTTTAATCCTCATCTTCCTCTTCTTCATCCTGGTTAATCTGGAAGTAACGTAATTCATAACTTTCTGTGCTGTTAGCAACTAAGTGCAACCAATCACATAGATTATTCTTCTTCAAATATTTTTGTGAGATATTTCAAATACCTTGTGGGAAAAGACACCTCAGAGGTTACAGTAATCTTGCTCTTTTTTCTTTCAATATTTACAACCCCTCCACTGAGATTACCAGCTTTCCCATTCACTTTGATTCTGAATTCTTGAAGAAACTGTTCAAAATTGGCAGCACCCACAATTCCATCTTCTGGATGGGTTCAGTCAAGGGTGAACTTCAGAGGCTGCTTTTTTTTTTGCCCCTCCTCGCCACAAGCTTTTTCACAGATGCCATGGCAGCAGTGGAGGCAGAAAGCTCTATTTTTAGTTTTATAAGGAATGGTTTTCCACATCAGCTGTGCCATTCTCACCAGCAATAGATAAGGGCTTTGATTTCCCCACGTCGTCATCAACATTTGTTATTTTCTGTTTTTGTTTATCTTGACTATCCTGATGGGAGTGAAGTGTATCTCGTTTTCATTTGCATCTCTGTGACAAATAACAACTTTGAGTATCTTTTCATATGTTTGGTGGTCATTTGAATGTCCTCTGTGATGAAATGCCTATTCAAGTCCTTTTCCTATTTTTTGATTAAGATATATATCTTTTCATTGTAAAGTTGTCAAAAGTTTTATATATATTTTGGTTATTAGTAATATATAATTTGTGTATATTATCAGAGATGCATGTTTTCTGAAGATATTCTCCCAGTTGGTAGCTTGTCTTTCACTTTTTTGGTAAAGTCTTTTGATGAGCAAAAGTTGTAATTTTTATGAGATCCTGATGTATTGCACTAGGCACATTTGCTGTATAAAAGGTCTTATATTTACATTTTAAGGACAAGAGTGTGCCTGACCAAAGCTATGGTATTTTCAGTCACCTCATTTGATGCAAAAGCTGAATAATGAATACAGAAGATCAGAGAAGAATTGACACATTTGAATTATGGTGCTGGCGAAGAATATTGAATATACCATGGACTGCCAGAAGCATGAACAATTCTGTATTCGAAAAAATAACGACCAGTTTGCTTCTTGGAAGTAACGATGGTGAGACTTTGTCTCTTGTACATTGGCCTTGTTATCAGGAAGGACGAGTTCCAGAAAGACATTATACTTGGTAAAATGGAAGTTGACCAGAAAAAGAGGAAGACCCTCATGGAAATGGATTGATACAGTGGCAACAACAATAGGCCCAAAGATAACACTTAATGAGGATGGCAGAAGACCAGGCAGCCTTTTGTTCTTTTGTGCATAGGGTCACTATGAGTCTGAACCGACTCTCTGGCACCTAACAACATTTATTTTTTATAATATTTTAAATGGCATCATTGTTGTTAGGTGCCATAGAGTCGGTTCTGATTCATAGCCACATCTACCCTATGCACAACAGAACGAAATACTGCCTGGTCATGTGCCATCCTCACAGTTGTTTCGACTGCCCACTGCTGCTGCTACAATGTAAATCCATTTCATTGGGGTTCTTCCTGTTTTACACTGACCCTCCACTTTACTGAGCATGATGTCCTCCTGATAATATGTCCAAAGTATGAGAGGCAAAGTCTTGCCACCCTGGCTTCTAAGGAGCATTCTGGCTGTACTTCTTCCAACACAAATTTGTTTGTTCTTCTAGCAGTCCATGGTACTTCTAATATTCTCCAACACCATAACTCAAATCTATCAATTCTTCTATGGTCTTCCTTAGTCATTGTCCAACTTTCACATGAATATGAGGCTACTGAAAATACCATGGCTTGGGTCAGGTGCACCTTAGTCCTCAGTGACATCTTTGCTCTTGAACACTTTAAAGAGGTCTTGTTCAGCAGATTTACCTAATGTAATACATTGTTTGATTTGACTGCTGCTTCCATGAGTGTTGGTAGTGGATCCAAGCAAAATGAAGTCTTTGACAACTTTAGTCTTTGTTTATCAAGGTGTTATTTACGGTTTCAGTTGTGAGAATTTTTGTTTCTTTACATTGAGGTGCAACCCCTATTGAAGTCTATGGTCTTTGATCTTCATCAATTAATATTTTAAGTTCTCTCACATTCAGCAAGCAAGGTTGTATCATCTGCATATCGCAGGTTGTTGAGTCTTCCTCTAACCTTGATGCCACGTTTTTCTTCATATGATCCAGCTTCTCAGATTGATTAAGTATGGTAAAAGAATACAACCATGGTGCACACCTTTTCTAATTCTAAACCATTCCGTATCCCCTTGTTCTGCTTAAATGACTGCCTCTTGGTCTAGTTTCCTCATGAGCACTATCAGGTGTTCTGGAATATCCATTCTTCACAATGTTATCCATAGCTTGTCATGATCCACCCAGTCAAAAGCCTTTCCATAATTAATGAAGGACAAGTAAACATCTTTGTGATAGTCTCTACTTTCAGACAAGATCCATCTGCCATCATCATCACAGTACATCAATTTTATACCGTAATCTATTTCATCATTTTGCTATTATTGTTTCTCATTTGTTTCTATTTTAGGTGTAGGTAACTATATTGAGCATCTTCATAGTACAGGTTTTTTTTTTCTTGTGTTGTATTATGCCTTTGGAACATGTTTCTAGGAGTTACATTATTGGGTGAAAGGAAAGGGTTTAAGCATTTTTATGACCTTGATACATATTGCTTTTCCTTTGTAGGATGCATATACAATACAAGTTCTTGGAAAGAAAGGGGATATAGTGGATCTGGGTACTTATGAAATAAGATTCTGCCAGCTTTGGTGAAATAATTAGAGTTTAAGGGACAAGACTAGAATAAGGGAGACCAACTAGTAATCTCACAGATATGAATGAATGCCTTATGTAGGGTGATTATAGTAGTGGCATTGGGATGGGAATGACTAAGTTGGACATTTTGAAGGGAAACAGTGACTGAATGTAAAGCATGAAGGACCCAATATGACTTCAAGATTTCCACCTGAGGATAGTAAAGGAACCAAGGATATTTTATCTGTAGGAAAAAAGACTATAGGATTTTCTGATTTCTTTTAAATATTTGAAAGGTTGTCAATAGAATCAGCAGATTTCTTCACTGTGGCTACATGAGGCAGTATTTTATAACAGGTAGCACATATGCAAAATACAGTGTCTTTGTTAAGTGCAGTTGAGTTAGTTCTGATTCATAGCAACCCTGTATAGGGATTCCAAGGAGCAACTGGTGGTTTGAATCGCCAGTCTTTCAGTTAGCAGTCTTGCGCTTATCCTATAGTGCCATACCAAAAGGTTGTACATTTGGTGACAGTGGATTAAGTCAAGCAGTGGTTTACTGATTGTCAGCATAGTTATGTAGAGAAGGCTCACACATAGAGCAAGGCCATGCTATTTAACATTTTTTATTTAACCCACATCTTCCTTTTCTCATAAACATAAAAATATCATGTCTTCCTTGAATGGGGGAGGGGTGTTGGTATAGAGTAGGTAGGTAGGGAATTAAAAATTTTTGTTCTCTAAGTATATCCCTGTAGTATTGGTTGCTGTTTTCAAAGAGTCGAATTCTTTGATTGGTACTCAAGTAGAAGATTGCTTTAGATGACTCCAAGGTTGCTTTTAACTCAGAAATATTTATAGCCTGAATGTGAGTTGTCAATTTCTAACAAATATTAATTGAACTGTTCTGTGAAGTAGCAATGAACACCCTATCACCAATATACTAAAACAGTATCTAGACTTTTTTTTTTTTTTTTAAGGATGTTTCAGAAAGGTTTCCTATGGCATGTTTGGGAAAGGTTGGATTACTTTCAACTTTATAAATAACTGTCTCATTATAAATGTCCCAGATACATTTCTATCATGATTATATCTTTGGTATGTAAACCAAGTCCTGGGAAATCAAGGCCTGGGCCTGAGAAAGGAAAAAGTTGAATTTTATTTTCCATAGTCATAGATGATAAGAAATTTTATGATCCTCCAAAAGGAGTACTTTTTATTTGTAAACCACAAGTAGAGAAGGTTGGGGAACTCATATCTATAGCAATTTTAAAAGATTTTTGAGAGGGGACAATAAGGAGAAAATGATGCTATATTGATTATGCAATCAATATAGGTTTTAAATTAATGTAATTTAGAAAAACCAAAAGGTGTTCTTAAGTTGATAGTTGGGGATAGCTCTGTAGCAGTAAAATGTGGTTCTTATAGAATAAATGGCAAATCTGTGCCTGTATTCATCTAGCTCCTGGAAACTGATCAAATAGATCATATTCTAAATTGGATGAAGTCCACCTGTATGCTCTGATTTTTGTTCTGTTAAATCTGAACAGCATGTTATGTCTGAATGATTTTATTAATGATTTTTTGTTTTGTTTTGCCCCCTCAGTGTAGTCTTCTTCAGTGTCTGAGAGAGCTACTACAGAATTGGCTGCTGCAACTTTCTATGGACATCCACATGAAACCTATGTTGAGCAGTCCTCTGTGAGTTATCTTTCAGTGTTTTACAAGAAATGATGTATACAGTTTTAATATGGAATTGGATAGTGTGATATGACCTAATTATTTCATATAAATATTTAAGAGTACTTTTCTAAAAGATTTTCTTGTTGTCCTGGTATGGTGCTGTAGGATAAGCACTAAACTATTAACCACAAAGTAGGTGGTTCAAACATACCAGCCACTCCTTGGAAACCCTACTATGACTCAGAACTGACTCAATGGCTCTTAACAATAACAACAATCCTATGAGGAAGGCTTATTCTCCTCTTTTTGAACTGCCAACTTTGTGATTAGCAGTCCAGTGCTTATCCTACAGTGACACACCGGAAGTCTTAACTATTTTATATAAATCAGAAAGCAACCCCTTAACCTCTAAATGACTTGCTAGAGTTACTGTAGCAAAACATTGGAGAGTTGAGGTTAGAATGTGCAACTTTTACTTCCATTCAGTTTTGCTCACTGTATAAAATGAATTCATTCTAATGTGTATTTTTGTAAAGTCAGTTTTGATGATGATTATGAAATCTGTAAGGTAATTTTGCGTTATTGTTGTTGTTGTTGTTAAGTGCCGTCAAGTCGGTTCCGACCCATAGCGACCCTGTACGTTATAGCTTTGTTTTTTATCATCTTCTGATATACTTTGCTTTTATGCATTAATTTTTCCTTTTGAGTAAAAAATGAGCCCTAAATTTATTGTCTATTATGTACTTTACCCGCAAAGTAAGAAGTGTTACAGTTTCAGTGCTCATCAATTACTAGACACTAATAATATGGTGACTGTTGTAGTTCCTTGCGGAACTCTGGTAGTGCAATGGCTAAGCACTCAGCTGCTAACCGAAAGGTAGGTAGGTTGGTAGTTCAAACCCATGGGAGATGTGGCTGTTGACTTCTGTAAAGATTTACAGCCCTGGGAATCCTATGAGCCAGTTCTCCTCTGCCCTACAGGGTGGGTTTATGTTCCCTGAACATTGGTAACATTATCTAAAGTCAGTGCATAAGTTAATTCTTACTTTCTCAGGTATGTAGTAGTAGAGTCGGATTGCTGATGATGTTCTATGATATGATCTTAACGGTTCCCTATGTTATGTTAAGTGCTGTCGAGTCGGTTCCGACCCATAGCGACCCTGAACAGGGTTTCCGAGGCTGTAAATCTTAATGGGAGCAGAAAGCCTCATCTTTCTCCCGCGGAGCAGCTGGTAATTTCAAACTGCTGACCTTGCGGTTCGCAGCCCAATTAGTAACCACTACGCTACCAGAGCTCCTTGGCTAAAAACTCAGTTTTCAGCTTAATCATGGAGCTTCAAAAAATAAAAGGAATTATAAACTCAAACACTGCTAGGAGTTTTCAGAAAAAAGGAGTTTTCAGAAACACCTGTGAACATTTTGTTATGTAATATCCAACTTTAGATTAGAAATTATGAACAGGTTTGCTATTCTTGATCTGAGTGTCTGTTTTCTTATTGTAGAAAGACAACTTTAGGTGAATCCATGAAGTCTGTGTCTAAACTGATTCACTATGTAAGCTGGCTGTCCACTAATGGATTGCGCTTGGAGAACAATAGTATTTTCTTGCTGCACTTCATTTTGGATTTCTATGAGAAGGTACAACCTATCCCATTCTTTCCCTATTTAGATTTCCATGATGGCTGTCCACTTTAATGGCCTATTAATTAAATTTTATGTGCAACCATTAATTAAGGTGGCTTGACCGTATTGGAATGCTGGTGTGACACTGTAGGATAAACAGTGGGTAGAACCCACTAATCTATTCCTTAGCTACTTTCCTTCACTAATATCTAGTTGCCTTATGTTATAGATGGTTAGAAGCATTCTCCTTTATTTTCTAGATTGCTTACATGGTAAATAACCTAACTAATGTGATAAATAATTGTTTATGGGGCTTGAGAAAGAAATGTTGCCTTTTTCTACTCTATCCCCTAACTCTAAGCCCTCTTCTCAGGAAAAAAATGAAAAATTTTAATAATGGTCTTGTAGAAATAATGCTCTGTGGGGAAGGTTGGTGTTTGCATATATAAATATAAATATAAAATCAGTGCCATCAAGTCAATACCAACCCATAGCGACCCTATGCACAAGAGAACAAAACACTGCCCAGTCCTATGCCAACCTCACAATATATATGTGTATGTGTGTATATATATTTTTTGGTAAGGTGTATTTATAAACAGGTTTATGGCAAGCCCTAATCTAATGTTGGAGTCTTGGTATGGCGCATAGTATAATCACTGAACTACTAATTGCAATGTCAGTGGTTCAAATCTACCAGCCACTCCTTGGCAGTCTTATACGGGGTCACCACTAATCTTATACAGACTCAAAGGCACTTAATAATAACAGCAACCTAATGTTATATTTGGAGTCTTGGTGTGGCACTGTGGGTTAATGCGCCAGACTGCAGTGCTGTTTGAACTGCAAGGTTCAAGCTCACCAGCTGCTCCTTGGAAACCCTATACAGGGTCGCTATGGGTCAAAACCAACTTGACGGCACTTAACAACAACAACAAATTTATATTTTGGAGTCCTGATGTGACGTTGTGTGTTAATGCAAAAGCCATTTGAAATTGTAAAGCCATTTGAACTGTAAGGTCGGCGGGGTCCGTGGTTCAAGTGCACCAGCTGCTCCTCGGAAACCCTATAGAAGGTCGCTATGGGTCGGAATCAACTCGATGGCACATAACAACAGCGTTATATTTTGGTTATATTTTCTTTAGGTGAACTTGTTTGAGGGATTCTGGGGAATAATCTGTGTACTAATGTTATTATTCTTCCCTAAAGGTATGTGACATATGTATAAATTATAACCTCCCATTAGTGGTGCTGGTTTCCCCTGGAGTCTTCTATCCTGCACTCTTTAGCCTGGATTCCAGTATTCTGAACCAGCTCTGTTACATTATGCACAGGTATTAAGGTTTCTCGCCGTTTTGTTTTGTTTTTTAATCAGCACATGATAATTCTATCTGTCTTCATTTTTTTCAACTATAATAGAATTAAATTTCTTATTTCTTTCCTGCCAAGGCCTATGGAAATAGAAGAGATGACTTTATTTTGGGATAACTATCATTTTAAAAATGTCACTACAGGGAATATGGACTGAAAATTTCATGGTTGAGGATCTTTTGCTTAACTCAGCATTGTTAACTGTAATCATTGTATATTATGGAAAAATTGGTCAGTTGCCAGCAACTGATTTAGGTCTATAGCTTCTCTGATAACAAGACAGAATATTTTCTGGGAAATAAGGGTAGCTATTTTGGCTCTGTGGATTAATGCGCCAGACTGCAAAGCCATTTGAACTGCAAGGTTAGTGGTTCAAGTTCACTAGTCGCTCCTCGGAAACCCTGTATAGGGTTGCTATGGGTCAGAACCGGCTTGACGACACTTAGCAACAACAACATTGCCTATTATATGAAACTGTCAGCATTATTTCTGATATCTTCTAATTCTTTTACTTGTAGGCTGAAATTACTCTTTTCAGTCTATACATTTAGACCCTTTTGGCATAAATTGTAGGCTTATTTTGGGATTAAAATACTTTAAATCTAATTAGATTGTAGTTGTCAGGCAAGAACCAAATTACATTTCTAAATTTCTCCTTCCTTTCTGCTATGTTTTTTTACTCACATGAAGAAATGGTGTTCTGTTACGACTGACTGCTATTATGAGCCTCTACTAATTTTTAGTAGGGAAACATTAAAATCATTTCCTTTACTGCTTTTTCTTTTTTATTGAAGTATAATTTACATGCAACCAAATGTACATCTTAAATGTACAATTCATTGTGGAGCCTCTTAACTTTTGTCCTTTGAGGAGAATATGTCATAAAAGGATAAAAACAGTAACTAGAGAGCTGGATATTTGTGTATCTAACATTTGTATATATTTACATTTTAAATGTAAACTTTTATTTACCATTACATTTTGAAGGCATTTGACTTTAAATTTCTTTCTGTTTGTTCTTTCCATTAGGTATCGTAAAAATTTGACTGCTGCAAAGAAAAACGAGTTAGTAAAGAAGGTACAAATTTGATCCTCTGTTACAAATCATCCTTGTTTAAAATTTGAATGTAGATAAATATTGGGGATAAGGAAAGGGAGAATAAGTGATTGTGACAACTTTTTTTTTTTCTTTCCCAATAGGCAAAATCCCAGTTCAATTTTAGCAATAAGATCTATCGCGAATTTAACCACTATCTGACAGCCATGATTGGTTGTCTGTGGACATCTAAATCCTTCCAGAAATGTTTCTACCATGATATAATAGATCTTGATGCCAGACTCCTAGAAGAAGCTGGAATAACAGAGTATAGAAGCAGTTTAAATTTAGTCCATCACCCTGCTCTATTCAGTTATGCAGTTTCCTTTCTGCTACAGGTAAGAGTATATAAACAATTTTTAGATCTTTGTAGTATTGATTTGAACTGCAAGGTCGGCACTTCAGCCACTCCTCTGAAACCCTAGACAGGGTCGCTATGAGTCAGAACTGACTTGATGGCACTTAACAACTACAACAACAGCACTTTTGTAACCGAAATAGGAACTACCATACATGTAGTGTGTCTCAATTGCAAGACATGTATTTGGTCATTTTTTCTTTTTGTGAGTACCAACTAAATTTTAGTCACTGTGCTTAAGCTGTAAGGAGCTCTGGTAGCACAGTGGTTAACTGCTCTGTTGCTAACTGAAGGGTAAGCAGTGCTAGCCCACCAGCCAGTCTGGTAGAAAGATGTGACAGTATGTTTCCATAAAGATTACAACCTTGGAAGCTTATGGGGCAGTTCTACTCTGTCATGTATGGTTGTTATGAGTCGGGATCGACTTGATAGCAATTGTTTTGATTTTATTTTGGTGCTAGGCTCTGGGGGAATAGAAGTTAAGTAAAGTGTCTGCTCTCCAAGAGCTTGGGCTTGTAGCAGAGATAGACATATAAGCAAAGGAGCTCTGGTAGCATAGTGGTTACAAATCGGGCTACGAACCGCAAGGTCAGCAGTTCGAAACTACCAGCTGCTCCGTGGGAGAAAGATAAGACTTTCTGCTCCCGTAAAGATTTACAGCCTTGGAAACCCTGTTCAGGGTCGCTATGGGTCGGAACTGACTCGACAGCACTTAACAACTACAACAACAATATGGTGAAGTAACAAAGTGTAGAGTTATGAGAAAAATAGGGCAGTGATTTGTTAGGTTCTGTTCCTAGTACCAAGCAAGAAAAGGCTTCATAGATATGGAAACACTTTAAAATCCTTATAGACAAGATGGAAAATGTAGGTTAGATAATATAATTAGAGTTGATTCTTAGCCAAAGACTGCTGATTTCATGGATTAATAATCAATATTGGAGTGGAGTGGGAGGCCTCTCAGGACTGTATCCTTACTGCTGTCAGTTTCAATTTTATCAGTGACTTAAGGTCTCTCCTGATGACCCGTCCAAAGGACGAGAGGTGAAGTTTCACCATCCTCACTTGTAAGGAGCATTCTGGCTGTATACTATAATTCATATGCATCGATTCTTCTCCAGCTTTCCTTATTCATTGTCCAACTTTCATATGACTATAAGACAGTCAGAAATGCCATGACTTGGATCAGGCACACTTTATTCCTCAAACTGGCATCTTTGTTCTTTAACACTTTTAAAGAGGTCTTGTGCAGCAGATTTGCCTACTACAGTATGTCATTTGGTTTCTTAACTGCTACTTCCATGACTGTTTATTGTGGATCCAAGCAATATGAAATCTTTGACAACTTCAATTTTTTTTTCCTTTTATCATGATGTTATTTATTGGTCCAGCTGTGAGGATTTTTATTTGCTTTATCTTGAAGTACAGTGCATGCTAAAGACTGTAGTCTTTGATCTTCATCAGTAATTGTTAGAATTCCTCTTGGCTTACCTAAGCAAGATTGTGTCATGTGATAGTAAAGGTTGTTGTTGAGTCTTCGTTCTATGTTGATGACATGTAGTTCTTCATATAGATTTGCTCAACATATAGATTGAATAAGTATGGTGAAAGAATACAACCCAAGCAGACACCTTTTCTGATTTCAGACCATTCAGTATGTCCTGGTTCTGTCTGAATGGCTGCTTCCGGGCCTATGTACAGATTCCTCTTGAGCACTATTAAGTGTTCTGGAATGCCCATTCTTTGCAATGTTGTCCATAGTTGCTATGATCTGCACAGTTGAATTACCTCTGCATAGTCAGTAAGTGCAGAAGAAAACGTCTTTCTGGTGCTTTCTGCTTTCAGCCAAGATTCATCTGACATCAATTATGATATCCCTCATTACATGTACTTTTCTGAATCTGGCTTGAATTTCTGGCATCTTGATGTATTGCTACAACCATTTTTTTAGTTAAATTCAACAAAATTTACTTGCATGTGATATTAATGATATGATTGTTCGATGGTTTCCACATTCAGCTGGGTCACCTTTCTTTGGAATGGGACAAATATGGAACTCTTCCAATCGTCTGTCTTCCAGATTTCTTGGCATAGACAAGTGACCACTTCCAGTGCTTCTTCAGTTTGTTGAAGCATTGCAGTTGGTATTATGTCAATTCCTTAAGCCTTGTGTTTCACCAGACACTCTCAGTGCGGCTTCAACTTCTTCCTTTAATGCTATCAGTTTTTGATCATATGGTACCTCTTGAAATGGTTGAACATTGAACAGTTCTTTTTGGTACAGTGGTTCTGTGTATTTCTTCCACTTTTTTGTTTTTTTTTAATTTAAAGGTTTTTATTGTGGATTGAGTGAAAGTTTACAGGGCACATCATCGGTTTCACATTCAACAATTCATATAACTTGTTTCATTACATTGATTATAATCCCCTCCATATACCATCAGTTAA